TATCATCGCAATGAACTCCTTGAGAATAGATTTTTTAAGCTGCTTTTACGTGTTTCTCAAGTTGCTGCAATGTGCTCTTTAAAAAAAGAAAGGACAATTCGCTCTGAATTTAGTTTACATGATCTAAATCGATGTCCTAGTGAAACTGTGATCAGATCGTGGGTCAGAAAGTTCGAGTCTACCGGTTCGACACTGAATCAGAAACCTGCGGGGCGCGGCGTCCAAGGTCAATACGAACAGAGGAAACCCTTAAGCAAAGTTGCGACGTCCAGACGGCGCGATCCAGAGTAATCATTCCGAAAGACATTAGCTGGCCTCTCCATATCAAGAACATCTTTAATGCGTATTTTGGTAAAAGACCTTAAAATGCACCCATATAAACTTCAACTAGTGCAGGAATTGAAACCGCAGTACCGCCATCCTCGTACGTTTGCCGAAATAATGTTAGAGCAATATTTTCTTTTCTGATGAAGCTCATTTTCATTTGAGTGGATTTGTCAACAAGCAAAATTAATGGCATTGGGTCGCAGAAAATCCCAAATTAAAACACTAACGACCTTTGCATTCGCGTTATGTTAGGCCGGACTGTAACAGTAAATTCTAATCGCTACACAGCACAGCCTACCATAGCAGGACCTAGTTTCAACAAGATAGCGCGACATCCTATACCACCAACGAGTCTTTAGCGGAAAACTGATATCGCGACGAGAGGCCATTCCGTGGCCTCCCCGAAGCCCAGATCTCACGCTACTGATTTTTTCTCTGGAGATACCTCAAGAGCCGCGTTTACGCCAATAAACCGACGACGATTGACCAGCTAAAAGTACACATCATTTCCGAGGAGATGTCCGCTATCCCATGAGCGATGTGCGAGCGAGTTTTTACGAATTTGAAGTCGAGATTCGAGGAGGCTCACATCTCGATGATGTTATTTTACAAAACTAAAATTCCCATGTGTCTACTTTATTAAAATTATCCACTGAACTTAATGGTCCATCCTGTAGATGACCATTCATATGTATGTATTGTTCGCACAGTAGCCAGGTCTCCATTTAACGTTATATCTCTTGATATCCATCAGAAAACTCGACTGAACTGTGTTTCTCGTTTTAGCTGTTTGATGTACTGTACAGAGAAGAAACGCTACTAAATGTGATCCGTTCTGTAACTAGAAATGGAAGATCCATCATATTGACGGCAGTTTTAGCTCTGATATTGGTTTACATGTTCTCCATAATAGGCTACATGTTCTTCAGAAAGGATTTCATTGTTAGCGTCCAGAAAAAAACAGGTATGCATGCTTCAAGATCATTAGTTTCTTATTTTAAAAAAATCTTTATATCTAAATATTCCATGGACATATATCTTATTTTAAGCTAACGTATTTTAAATATTCCTAATGTTATAGCTCTTCTATAAAATTTGAAAATACCTGGAAAGGTACCAAAAAGTTAGTTATTGGACAAAAAATTCAATTACCGGCCACACAATTTTCAGTTATTGGACACTGGCAAAGTAATGATTAAAAGCAAATAAGTTGAAATCAATATTAAAAAACTTTTTTTAAATCTCAACTATAAATCACTTATATTTTTTCAGTTCATTTTGGTACATATTAAATAGATCTTCGAGGTCCATGTAGTCATAGTCTTCAAGATCTTCTTTACTTCCTATTCATGGTTCCTTTTCTCTCCAATTTCTTATTTTCTAAAGTTAAAGGTACTTTTTTTTCAAAACTCTCTTGATAGCCTCTTGATGTTATAGAAAGGGAAACTGTTTCCATATTACGTTTATTCTTTCTTGTTGGTTCTTCTGGAACTACTAAGAAGTCACCCATATTTTTACTAGTAAATCGCAAACTATAGATAGTGTCTTTACCAGGTTTTATGACCATATTTCGTATTATATTGATTTTTGGTTCTTTTGAAAGTTGATTCTCAGATAGATTTAATTCAGCATCCAAGGTTATTTTAATTTCTGGTGCACTTGATGGTTGGTTCTCAGATGGATATAATTCAGGTTCAGCATCAGCCGAGTTCTATACCTGATCAAATCTTAACAAACAGACCATCGAAATACTTAAATCTTTTGATTAAATCTTCTCCAGTCAAACTGACAAATGTTCTATGGTCCATGCGCGGGGGTGTACTTTTTATCTAAAACTACGATAAGGTGATATTAAGTTATAGGTAAATGAAAACGTTTTTATAATTATCTTAGGACGCTCATTTTTGTTTTCCAAACACTTTGTGTAATCAACAGCATCTGGGTTGAAAGGGAATAAACCACAAGCACGAAATCCATTAACTAAAGTTTCCCTCTTAATATGATTCGACACTACTTTTTCCAGTAGTGGGGCAAATGTTATTTTATTTAGAACTTCTTCAGGATTTTGTTCGTAAAATTCTCTAACGGCTTTTTTCCATCCCAATTTTATGTGCCCGAATACTGCAACATAATTCTGGTTGCATCCGGATATAAGGCTATAACTTCAATGTTCAATTTATTGCAAAGTCTAATTAACTCATAAATCAAATGAGACTTATCGCCATCTAAAAACAATAATACAGGGAACTGTATATTATTTTTTACCAAGAATGGATGGAGTGCATTTTTCATATAATCGTAGAACGTCTCCGCCGTCATCCATCCATTATCGGATCTTCCAGTGCCAATCTTTGACAGTATGACTTATTTTTTCTGGAACTCGCTTGTAAGAAAAAAAAGAAATAATTGGTGGGCAAGTCAATCCCGAAGCAGAAAACGAAAACATGACAGTAGTGATGCTTTCCTTAGATGATCCTTTTTCGACAGAATACACATTCTCCGCGCCTTTTTTAACAAAAACTTTTCCAGTTTTTGGGCAAATCTGAAATCCGGATTCGTCGCCCTTGTAAATTCTTGAAGGGTCATTAGTGATTAATTTTTTCGAAATGAAATAAGTTAGCTTTTTATATCTTTAAACCATTTTCCAATGTCTGCATCCGAAACACAAGAGCTGGCACCACTTACTGCTTCACTTGTTCGTTGCACAGTTATTGGATGTCTTTTTAGAAAATCCTAGAATATAAAGTGCTATGTTAGTCATCTCTATTTTCCAAATATCCTTTTTTGCCTGATTACACTGATAAACACAGGGTTTGTGACATGACAATTTTTAGGTGTATCTTATGTATTTCGAAACCCTTAAATCAAATCTAAAAACAGAATTTTTATATTATATTGCGTTTATTAGTAGACAAATAGCAGCCGAGTCAGTTACGTTTTCTGTGTTGAAGAGTACTGAGATGTTCTGAGTACTGTTAATTTTTGTTAAAACGGTGTGTTGTTTTTAGTTTATTGTGATCGAGACTAGCTTCATCGACAATGCCTAGAAATTGTGTAAATAGTGCGAACAGTTTTTGTTATGTGTGCGGAGAGATACATTTTAAATCCCAAAAACGTACCTTTACTCCCCTTGTGTTGAAAGCATACGAACTTTATTTTGGAATTCAAGTTGGCGACCAAGATAAACTGTGGGTCCCTCATATATCTTGTAAGACTTGTGTAGCGTTGTCAGCAGGTGTTTTAAGAGACGACAATCGTAAAATGCCGTTTGCAGTAGCAATGGTTTGGAGAGAACCACTACTGATTGCTATTTTTGCCTCACAAATATTGAAGGTATTGGACCAAGATCGAAACATACGGTTAAGTATTTTAATTTACCATCAGCATAGTGATGAACTTTCTGCCCCAGTTCCACCAAAATCTTTGGATTAAAAAGTCGAATCCACCGATTCTAAAAGTGATGGTACAGAACGCGTAAACATTTCCGATCCTTCGTTTGACCTGCCAGGATGTTCAACAGCGCCGCATTTGATCACACAGAGCGAACTTAACGACTTAGAGAATTACATCTGTCAATATCCCAGTCAGAACTTTTAGCGTCAAGATTAAAAGGATGGAATCTTCTTCACGGTGATGTTAGCATTACTTTTTACCGAAAACGGCAGCACGACCTCACACACTATGTTCGTCAAGAAATGGAGTTGATATATTGCACCGATGTCAACAATTTGTTTGACGCGTTAGCACAGAAACATGATCCAAATGATTGGCTCCTGTTCATTGATTCCTCTAAGCTTAGTTTAAAAGCGGTATTGGTACACAATGGTAATAAATATTCACCTATACCTATAGTGCACGCAGTTCTTATGAAGGAATCATATGAAAATATGCGAGTTCTGTTAGAGCATATCCGTTATAATGAATATGGATGGGCCATATGTGCAGATTTAAAAGTAATAGCCCTTCTTCTTGGAATGCAACTGGGATATACCAAATATGGTTGTTTTCTTTGTGAATGGGACAGTCGTGCGCGAGATCGTCATTATGAACAGAAGGAGTGGCCACTACGTCAGGTATTCACTCCGGGCCTCAAAAACATTGCTCATGAACCACTAGTGGATCCCAAAAACGTGTTGCTTCCACCTTTGCATATTAAGTTGGGACTGCTGAAAAATTTTGTGAAAGTTATGGATCGAAATGGAAGAGGATTTTTGCATTTAAAACAAAGATTTCCGAGACTTAGTGAGGCAAAAATTAAAGAGGGCATATTTATGGGTCCACAAATACGGAAAATCATGGAGGATGATGTATTTGACAGTACTCTAAATGAAACTGAATTACGAGCTTGGAATGCTTTTAAATCAGTTACTGCAAATTTTTTAGACAATGCACAATTAAAAGATATTGTGAGTGAACCAATTAATGCTTATAAAGGAATTGGATGTAACATGTCTCTAAAAATTCACTTTTTGGATTCTCATCTCGATTTTTTTCCGGAAAATTTAGGTGCGGTAAGTGATGAACATGGTGAACGGTTCCACCAAGGCATTTCTGCTCTGGAAAAACGGTATCAAGGCAAATGTGAGTGTCAATTTGCCAGCTGATTATTGCTGGACATTGTTAAAAGATACTTCACCAACTATCACTAGGTCTGTTGTTTTTAAAGGGAGTAGGCCGTGGATTTTCAGTCAAACATTTTTGAACGCTATTCAAGATTTTATCTCGTTTCCTAGCAAATCCTGTTGTTACCAGCTCTTCTATCCACCTGCAGAAATAAAAACAGTTATCTAAAAGTTCAACATCTTACCTAACTAAATTAACTCTTGCTGAAAGAATTGGATTTGGACCGCATGTGTCTTTATGTCCAGGATTTTTTATTTTGAATTCCAGCGTTGATTTAGGAACACCGTATTTGTGTGGCGCATTTCTATATGACATGTTGTTATTCTTGACTTTTTTATCGCCGATTCCATCAATTCCGCATTATATTCATTTTTCTTGGGTAGTGATTGAAAACTAGATACATGAAAAAACTGTGTAAATGAACGTTCCAGTTATAGGACAGATTATAAACCAGTTATCGGACAGGCGTCCAATAACTGGCTACACTGTGAATACTGAAACGATTCTGGTTTCGAACGCCGTGGAACGCGTGTCGAGCAAAAACAGAAAAACCGTAGACGAAAGGCAAACCTAGAGCAGACAAACAACCAAGTGGGGTGGGGTGGTAAAAATACTAATCAATTTCTGTGTGTTAGTAACCCTATCCCCTTCTTGGTGAGTCAAAACCCATTTTTTTATATAGTCTACCCCAAACATACTATTTTGTGTACTACCTATCACAAAAAAAGACTAGTGCTATAGATAATAGAAACCTTGCACAAGCAGAGCTAGAAAATATACTAAGTGACATATAAATCCGAACACCCAGTTTAAATGGTTTTATTTTAATAAAATTTTGTATAAGTACTTAATGAAGCATAATAAGTAAATGATAAAAATTTCAAAATGATTGCACTGCTTTAAAGCCCTTTGACCTGTAATAATGTGTGGATGCACCCTGATGTGCTACGCATTCTCCAACGCGCCTAGGCATGCTTCTGATCAGGTGGTCAATGTCCTCCTGTGGTATCTCATTCCAGGCAACCACCAACTCCTCTCGAAGTGCTTCTAGAGTCTGAGGAGGACGTTGCAAATTGAGCAATCTCCTACCCATGATATCCCACACGTGCTCAATTGGGGATAAATCGGGAGATCTTGGTGGCCATGGTAACAATGTGACATCATTATGTTGAAAGAAGTCTATTGTGACTCTTGCAACATGTGGTCGGGCATTATCTTGTTGGAAAGTTGGATCTGCCAGGGTGTCAAGATAGGGTAAAAGATGGGGTTCTAGAACTTCGTGGATATAACGCTGCGCTTTCATGTTACCTCTGATGAAGATTAAAGGTGACCTGATGATGAACATGTCTTTCAACAAAAAACTGTGGATTCCTCCTTTCACCACGTCGCCTTCTAACCCTGGCACGACCATCGTGCATGACTAAACAAAATCGAGACTCGTCACTAAAGACAATACTGTTCCATTCCTGATCCCAGAGTGACCGTTGTCTGCACCACTCAAGGCGATTACGTCGGTGTTCTCGAGTTAAAGGGAGGACCCAGTGTGGCCGGTATGAAAACAAGCCAAAACTTCTCATTCGTCGGTAAACACTTCGCATGCCAATAGGTCTTCCGTGTTCTGCAAACCATTCATTTGCAATGGACCTGGTAGTGGAGAAACGGTTCCTTAAGGCCAAGAATCTTAGGCGGCGATCTTCACGGTCTGTTGTTCTACGGCGGCGTCCAGTGCCCCTTGCTCTTTGCGTACGGCCTTCTCGAAGCCATGCCTGACAACACCTAACCACAGTGTCTACACTTCTTTGCACTCTAACTGCAATTGCCCGAAAAGAAAGTCCAGCTTCCCGAAGTCCCACTATACGGCCCCTATCAAACTCACTAAGTTGACGAAATAGTACAGGTCTCCGTACTCTAGGCATCGTAACCGATCGTAAAGGATGTCAAGAACCAAAATCCGCCAACGTTGATTCTTTACTGCGGCTGAAATATTCATTTTTAGAGCGTTAGTGAATTAAAAAAAAGCAGTATAAAAACCGGAATGTCCAACTGATAAGGCTGAAAATTTTTTCACTTGTTATTTACAGTAAGATAAATACATTCACCAACTTTTATTAAAATAAAACCATTTAAACTGGGTGTTCGGATTTAACATATATGTCACTTAGTATATAATTGGTGTCACAAACAAAGAAAAAGTCAACCAAAAAAAACACTACAGATAAAAAAGAAATATGCTACAAAAACTCTGAACGGGGACCATTCATAGTTTTTGTCGAAGCAATGGAAGGCACGGGGATTCAAGTAGGTCAAAGAAGGTATCTACAGGTAGCAAAACATATATTTCAATCAAATTTAACCAACATTAAACGCATACAAGTCAATGGAAGGAATAGGCTGGGAGTAGAGTTCCTGGATTACAAGTCAGCAAACTCTTTTGCAAATAAAGAACTCAGTGGGTACAATATATATACAGGGTGTTTCAGTTTATTGTTGCATAACTTTAAGATTCGATAGAACTTTTAAAATTAATGCATAAAGTCTATATAAACATGGGTCGAAAAATGTGTGGCTTCCGAAATACAGGGTGTTTAAATTTACATTCTAAAATAGTTTTTTTTAAATATTTCGAACAATATTTGATGTATAACAGTGAAAATTGGTATACAAGGGTTTTTGGTACGACAAAACGAACCATGGGCATAGTTGTACTGTAGCCGCTAGAGGGCGCTCTCTACTGTACCGGTAGTGTACTAAAATGACCGAAAAAGCAATGTTTTGCTTTTTGAATAAAAAAACTGATTCTTCGCACTTTTCAACATTAAAAAGCTCTCTTGTAGTTAGCCGTTTTTGAGATATTTCGATTTCTAAGGTTCGATGCATTTTTAATTATTTATGATAAAATAACGTTAAAAAGTCAGTATCTCGATAATTTTTAGAAGTAGGCTGTGCCTGCAAATATTTTTGAAATTGAAAGCAGAATAAGGTTAAACGTCAATTAGTTGACAGTTAGTTTTGTTGTCTGTTGAAACCTGAAACGTTTTTTGCAATTGTGAATGCACGAAATTTAGTTTCTTTTACCTGTTTTTTTTGTAAGTTTTATAAAAATGCCATTTTTATTCTCCAATCAAGAGTTAGCGGATATTCATTTTGTGTATGGCTTTGTAAATGGAAACGCAGCAGAAGCAGCCAGAGAATACGCACGAAGATTTCCAAACAGACGACATCCAACTCGCTCAGTATTTGTAAGAGTGCATCGCCAAATAATTGAAAATGGTTTTGGAAATCTCCAAAGGGATCAAAACATAAATGTTCGTCAGCGCAGATTTACTCGTATGATTCTGCGTGAGTTTGATAGAGATCCGACCACAAGTGTTAGGAGAGTTTCTGGTGCCTTGGGAATTTCAGCAAGCCATGTTTACCGTGTTCTTAGAAATGACCATAGTCGTCCTTACCATTTTCAACCTGTGCAAGGACTACAGCCAGGGGACGGAGAACGAAGAATCACATTTTGTCAGTGGATTCTTGATAGAACTGATAGTAATCGGGAGTTTTTAAGTACCGTTTTATGTACCGATGAGTCATGCTTCACTAGACGTGGAGTGGTAAATTTTCATAATCAACATATTTGGTCGCATGAAAATCCGCATGCTGTTCGGGAAAGAAATTTTCACCATGAATTTAGTGTGAACGTGTGGATTGGTATCTACCGTAATCGACTGTTTGGACCCTACCTTTCCATTAGATTTCTTTGTGTGGGAATTTCTAAAAGAAAAAGTGTACCAGACTCCCGTAACCACAAGAGATATGCTAATAGACAGAATCAGGAATGCATGTGATGAAATAAGGCCTTATTTAAATAATGCTATACCACGTTCGATCATTCGTAGATGTGAATTGTGTATTGAACAATTGGGTTTACATTTCGAGCAACTACTTTAGATTTTGTATGTTTGTCCTAACTATCCAATAGTATTTTAGTTGTAAATAATTAATTTAATTTGTTAAAAACAATATTGGAAAATTAAACAAATTAATATTCTGTTTTTTTGTGTTTATTTGGAGTTAGGAATTATTGCTGTGTTTAAAAACGCAATCTAAACGATCATCTTAATTACTTGTAATGCCCAAATCGAAAGTGAAAAAAAAATATTATTTTCCCATAAATAATTAAAAATGCATCGAACCTTAAAACTCGAAATATCTCAAAAACAGCTATTTATAACGAAAATTCACGCTTTTTATGTTGAAAAGTGCGAAGAATCAGTTTTTTTATTCAATCACCAAAAAATTGCACTAAGAAAAATGTTTCGGTCATTTTAATACATTACAGGTACAGTAGAGAGCGCCCGCTCGTACCAAAAAACCCTTGTATATCAATTTTCACTGTTATACATCAAATATTGTTCGAAATATTTAAAAAAAAAACTATTTTAGAAAGTAAATTTAAACTCCCTGTATTTCTGAAGCCAAGCATTTTTCGACCCATGTTTATATAGACTTTATGCATTAATTTTAAAAGTTCTATCGAATCTTAAAGTTATGCAACAATAAACTGAAACACCCTGTATACAGGGTGGCCAAACACGTGACGTCATAAAAAAAAATTAGATTCCCCACATCGAGAGGAACCCAAATCACCCCCATATATATGGTCCGATTTTGTTTAGTTTAGGAGTTATGATTTTTTTTCGGATTTTTCGAGAATTTTTTAGTTCTGTGTTTATTTTTACCATAACTTCGTTAATAATTGTGATAAATGCCTGCTTTTTTCACGATTATGTAGCTAAGACCTAAGGCTTAACTATCATATAATCATTCAAGTCATGTAACTAATACTACTTTTTAATTTTTTTCAAAATCTTCGAACATAACAAAAAAGTAAAAAAGTGCAACAACTTTGAACGTTTATAAAAAATTGAAAAAACATGTTCTTACTATTCGTAAGTATCTTAAAAACTTCCTTACGGTATCAGCTATTTACCGTAAAAATTTCATCAACCTAGCTTTACTACATGCTACCGTAATTGTGGCTCAAATAGAACCGAACCCAAAATTGGATAACCCTCTGCTCAATAGAAATTGTTAGTTTCGGAAAAAAAATTTGCAAAAACCACAAAAACACGTTTGATTTTTACTGAGCAGCAGATTATTATTCATTTATGTTATTTACAAGAGGTTTTCAAAATGTCTGCCTCTAACAGAAATGCACAGTGTACACCTACGTATGAAATTTTGTTTTAAATCTCTAAATGCTTGTGTGTTGTTTTTCAACACATGTGTCGCTTCTTGAATTTTGTTCCTCAATGAATTTTCATTTGCACATTCTTGGGCGAATGTTATGTCTTTAAAATATCCCCAAACAAAAAAATCAATGGGGTTGAGGTCAGGGGAGCGTGGAGGCCATCGTATCGGTCCGTTTTGTCCGATCCATCTGTCTGGGAACCTTTCGTTTAAGTAGTTTCGCACGATCGTTGCGTTGTGGCATGGTGCACCATCATTCTGGAACACCATGTTCCGTCTGGCTTCCAGGCTTGAATCTTCCAGCAATAATGGTAGGCTATTTTCAAGGAAGCTTTTGTAGGCTACCGAATCCAACCTTGACGGCAGTTCAAATGGACCGATAAATTCCATATTGAATATTCCTGACCACATGTTCACACTAAAACGGTGTTGAAATGTCGACGGCCTTGACTGGTGGGGGTTTTCAACAGCCCAAGTATGTAAATTATGGATATTGAATATCCCTGTTCTTTCAAAACGTGACTCGTCAGTCCATAAAATTTTATCAAAAAAATCGGGATCCTCTCGTTGTCTTCGCAGCATTGTCTCGCAGAAATCCACTCTTAACTGGTAATCTGAAGGCATCAACGCTTGAACTCTTTGAACATGATAGGCATGATAACCTTCTTCATGAAGAATATTTTGCTAAGAAGTTTGTGATGCATTATACGTTGCGTGAATATGCAGAAATGCATTATTATTATGGCGTTGCTCAAGGCAACGGCGCTTTAGCAGCTCAGCTGTACCGGGAACAACTTATACGCCGAGGCGGACCACAACCTGAGCATTATCCAGACCACCGTGTTTTTATTAACACACATAACACTTTCATGGCAGGCCGCATTCCAGGACGAGGAAGCAATGAAGGATATCCTACAGCTGATCCGGATCGCAGAGAAGTAGTACTTGAAGAAATTAGCCGGAATCCCTCAACGAGTACGAGATCTATGGCACAAAACCTTAGAATACCACGAACATCGATACAAAATATTCTTCATGAAGAAGGTTATCATGCCTATCATGTTCAAAGAGTTCAAGCGTTGATGCCTTCAGATTACCAGTTAAGAGTGGATTTCTGCGTGACAATGCTGCGAAGACGAGAGGATCCCGATTTTTTTGATAAAATTTTATGGACTGACGAATCACGTTTTGAAAGAACAGGGATATTCAATATCCATAATTTACATACTTGGGCTGTTGAAAACCCCCACCAGTCAAGGCCGTCGACATTTCAACACCGTTTTAGTGTGAACATGTGGTCAGGAATATTCAATATGGAATTTATCGGTCCATTTGAACTGCCGTCAAGGTTGGATTCGGTAGCCTACAAAAGCTTCCTTGAAAATAGCCTA